TAATCTATTTCTGTCACGTAATGTTGTCATTTTAGCAAAACATAAGTTTTACCACAATGACATGGGGATTCAATTTAGAAAGCATACAATTCCTATGCCTCAATTTTGGTGTTTCTCAAAATGTTTGTTTTCTGTATATTTTCTAATGTTTTTTTTTACTTATCTTGCTATTTGTTATTTGTTATGTGTTGCTTTTACTAGCAATGTGCTACCTGAGATATTTTCAGACTAGCAATTTTTTTTTTTTTAAATTAGCAAGTTAACTTGAATTATAAATGTTAACACATTTACTTGAAACTATAATTTCTCTAAATATTGCTTTAAATAAAAAGTTAAAAAAAATCACAGTGTAATAAATTAATATTTAACCACCTTTTTGTGTTAATTTTGAATTGGCATGTGTAAAAACGAATTCGCATTCGAAAAAACGAAATTGAACATACCAGGATAAGAACGTTAAAAATGGAATAAAAATACGAAGTCATGAGTTATAGAACTAAATCATACACATGATACATATAAACTGTACGTCGGGGCAATCTCAGACTAAAATGTGTTTGCCCCGTTCCATATAGAAAGGTCGAAAGAGTATTTTAGATAAACTTTACGGGATAAATAATAATTGTAAAATGATTTTGAAAAGGATGTAATTCAATAAACATTGTTGTAATAATGAACTTTTATATAATAGTAAATTCTTTCGTGAATTTGTCAGTTAAAAAAGGAGATAACACATACAGCCCTCTCTGTTATCTGATAAGTCTGATAATTCAGAAAATACGTACCAGACCATGTTTAAATAATTCGAAAACAAAAGCATTTATTTACATTGCATGTATGACACCGAAGAGATAAACATTCAACACATTATCTGTATTTTTTGCATTTCTTACAACAACAAAAACGTAAGAATGCAAAACGATTTCATTTTCTGGTTAATTTTGTAATTCCGTCACGGACTTTAATTTAAAACGGTAGCAGACACTTTCTGAACTGTTTAGTTGTTTGCAAAGACATTGTATACGTCAGTACAACTTGCGACTACTACTAACACGTGTAACACATGACGAATGCAAAAAGTGATACAATCTGGTGTTTTTGAAATGAAAAAATAACGTTTTAATCGTTAAATATAGTATAAGTCAATGGCCTAATAAACTACCCCGTTTCTACTTCTTAAGTTTTGTGCAAGTTTTAGTCTTATTCTCGCTACATTAATATTCTGGATGTATGTACGAAACTTAACCTACACAGCGACAAATCAATACATATGACAGACATAACCCCTCCTGATTTAAAATTAAAATGTCGATCTTTTTCTAGTTCATTTTATCTTATATTGTATTTTTTTTTTTAATTGTACAAGAGAAATTGCAATTTGCATATTTGTTTTCTTGTATCCCACAAAAAAATACATATTATACCCGAACTGAGAAGACAGTGTAAAATTTTGTAATTATTGTAAAATTGATATTGCTCCTCAACTTCCCTCCAACCATGAAATAATGTCTTATTCTTATATACAGATTTTACAAAGTGTATTTGATGATCAAAATTTAATATATTTTATTGAAAAGACCCGATGAAGCGGATAGAAATCACACGTTTGAGGTATTTTCTAAAACAACGACGACCATGCTATTTAACGTAGTTGTACTGAAAGAATCATAAATATATAAATACTGAGCGAGACTATTGTCGAAAATAATTTACTGATGAACATTCATGACTTCATGACGTATTCTTTTTACATTTGTTAAAAAATAAAACAATATATTCTACTTTAAAATTTCATCCCATCAGCCGTCTAAATAATAAATTAAATCTACAATACCTGATGTATATGCTGCAATGGAAAGAAAAAGTATGACAAAGCTGCTTTGACAAATGTCCATCGTATGCTAAGCTGTGCAAAAAACTTCCTTCTTATAACTTGATTACGAATGATGCATGAGACATGTATGAGTGATTTTGATCGATAAGGTTTTACCGTTTAAATCAAAATCTCGTTACGTTTCAACAGCCACAAAATTAAATATAACTCATTTCTGTTTATGAGTGGATTGATTATAATGATTTAAACTATCCAAGGTAATTTTTTTTATTTCTGCTTCGCCTGCAACTGCCATTTGGGACTTTTATACGTATAATAGTCCCAGCTGCCATTAAATTTTGTGTTAGCAATTATACTATATTTACATTTAATTTCATATTTCCCGATGACTTATACTCATATTTCCTATTTTATTTTCTTATTTATCAATTACATTTTAAAGTGTTTTTTTTTATTCAGAAGAAACTTGCAACAGATTTGATATTCAACATTACCGATAATCTCTTTTATCTTTACCCGTGATTTTTTTAAACTTTCTGTTGACATAAGATAAAATGGACAAGATATCTTTATTGTCAAAGTAGTCGGTATAGCTACTCTCCATAGCGTTATTTATTTCAAGGTCTTCATTTCAGGATTAGGTGTTCATATAATTATTAATATTGTTATAGTACTTTCTACTGAGGAGATACATCAAATGGCCCAATTGGTTTGTCTTTTAGGGTTTTTTATGTTAATGTCTAGGTTAACCTTCACCAGTAACTCTCAAAGTGAAAGATCTTGATACCAGTAGGCAAAATCAACTCTTTATCTGATATCTTTTATTTCCAGTTAAATTAGGAGAGTCAAAATCAACAATATCATCAAAACTTTAAATGATTCAGTGAGATAACATCATAAGTATTACATGTTGATAACAAAAAATGAAGTGGACCTACAACAGAATGTAACGAAAAAATACCCTCAAAATTTCTGAGATCAACTTTACCTTAGATAGTTAAAACCTTACATTTTTTTTTAAATTGAACAATTTTTTAGCAAAAAAAAAGTCAAAATTTACGTACAATTTACAAGTACCTCGTCAGTAGCTCTTTTTAGTTATATCTTAAAGGTTTGTCACCAATGAAGGAATTTGGTGTTGACAACAGATCTTTGATTGGCTCTTTGCATGTTTAATTCAAGAACTTGGTCATATTTAGATCATAATGTTACATCCTCTACACAAAGATATATAATTAAAACATGGGGGAATATAAAAAAAAAGTGGAATTTGTCAATTTTGTTACAATAAAAATTACAAGTAGTGTCCAGTCATATTTCAAAATTACCCCCACCTTTTCACATTAGAGCTTTCCCTAGTCAAAACAATGCTATGAAAATGAAAATTGCTTCCAAAAGCTTTCAGCAAAAGACACCATCATGACGTTTTTCTAAGAATAATGATCGATGGCCCAACAACATCATTTAAAACATTGATGTTATTGTAATAACGCATTAAAAGAAGTGTGACAGGAATTATCTGACTTGGTATACTTGCAGAAACTACGGTGGGGGTTAAACCAGTTTCACGTGCACACAAACCTCTTCCAACTGCCTATCTAGACCGTTTGTCGTCAACTTTTAACACACAATAAAAAAACTGTACAATTTAGCTACCAAATATAGAAAATTGTTCAATTACTTATTTTTCCTTTGTCAATTATTTAGGTATTTTTATTGGATCAGTTTTTATTATACTTTTCTATTCTTAGTTGAAGTCATGTTATAGATTGCGGTTACTGATATCTATAATATACAGGTTGTGAAGATATTCGCACATTGCAATATTTTGGCCTCGAGCATCACTGAATTAAGGGACATTTAAAATAAATGGTACCGTTAATGTTATTACAGGAATATCATATTCATACCAATCATTAACCAGAATGAATTCTAGTGCCATGCAGTCCAAATTTAAATCCCTTACTGCTTATAGGCCTACTTTGCATAGCCTATCTATTCGATTTATTTTTGATATTTTATCTGAATATTTAAGAAATATTGGTCACTGGACGTTACGCTAAAATTAATTAATCAAACATATTAAGATTAACTTTGGCAAATGTCGGCACAGTTGGTCCTATACAGATAAATATTTATGGTGTTAAAAGTCTAGCGCTGGCGGTATAAAGTACAGCGCTAATTAAGATTTAAAGTTCAGTGCATCAGCAAATAAAACAATTATACTATGCATGTTAAAAACAGGTGTTTGGTATAAAACAAATAATATTGAATCACCGTAGTTAAAACAAGGGGGTAAAAAGGAATTTGGTTCAAATTTAAAACTAAGCATTAAAACACTGATAAGCATAGCCATTAAAACAGTTTTAGTTTTATAAAAAGATATAATAAATCTATATCAGCATCTGCATATAAAATAACATTTACTATTGTTAGTATTGTACTAAAAGTAAAAAGTAGATATTAAAACACTGATAAGCATAGCCATTAAAACACTTACAGTTTTATAAAAAAATATGATAAATCTATATACGCTTATTTATATTTACTTACTTACTTATATACAATTTTGAAATCTAAAATATAAAAGTGCAACAACACTATCTACACACTTTAGATGTAGCATCGTACATATCCCCATTTATATTAAGAACAAAACAAGTAATGATTTTTTTTTTATTTAGGAAAACATTTATTGTTATAAAATATTATTTTATTCTCTCGGGCGCTTGTTTTTCTTCCCCGAGCGCTTTTTCTTTTCCCAAGCGCTCCCGGGCGCTTTTTAGTAGGACCGGATGGTTTGCATGTTTTTTGTTTTTTGTTTTTTGTTTTTTCATCAAGGTATATTTTCTTTTAAATTGTATATGCGGTTTAACTGAATTTTGACATAATGCATAATTTCTGTGCAATCGTTGGTATTAATTTAAGACAATAATAGTATTATATAATTATAATCGCCTCTGCCATGATCAGCTGGCGATCTCATACCTACCCAAAGTTTTGGCATCATTAATAGTCTCATAAAAAACAGATGATTTGTCTGCTTCTTGAGAATATGGTTTTTAATTATTGTTAGTCGATAGAAGTTGCAACATAGAAATTCTTGTGGACAAAACTGTGCGAATTGTTGAATTTCGCGGACTTTTTTCAGTTTGGCATTGGGTTGTCTCCCATGTAAGATGTCTGCGCCCATAAGACGATGTTGCAGAATAATAAGAATAGCTGTAATACCAAAATCACGACAATATTCATCCACAGTTTCTGGTATGTGCCAAATATTTCACTATGTTGTAATACAAAATATTGTGCTAAACAACTATTGCGTTATGTAATTCAGACGAACTATTTAATTTGTGTCAAGGTCAACCCCCTTTTCCCTGTTAATTAAATCGGTCCTTAAAAATGGGTTTTATCTCCCTTTATGTAAAAAAAATAAAGATTAGAGATGCGCCAAAGTTAACTACTTGCCATCCTTATGTGAAAATGGGGGTCTTGGTTTTTTGGAAACGTGCCAAAACTGCATTTTTTAGCAAGTTTAGATTAAATCATTAATGTTCTTCATAACCAGGAACATATATATTGACTTAGATATATACTGTTCCCAGATAACCAAGAACATATATATTGACAGATATACTGTTCCCAGTTCATAACAATTGGACCAAAATGGATTTTTGTGCATTTTGTGTTTTAAAAAAATTGAAATCTTCTTTCCATTTTGAGGTAAAATGTATTTTTCATCGCTGCAGAAGATGAACACCTATTTAGTGGCGGATCCAGAACTTTTTGTAAAGGGGGTCCACTGACTGACCTAAAAGGGGGGCCGGCTCCAGTCAAGCCTCAGTGATTCCCTATATAATCAACCAAATTTTTCCCACAAAAGTGGGGCCCGGGCTGTTGAAGAATGGACATCTGCAAAAAGATATATGTATCAGATATCAGAATGTGAGTTCTTATTATTGCGATACTCATCCAATTGCATTATTTGCATTAATAAAAACCTCGCAATAATTTCTGAATTTACAGAACTCTGCAAGTCAATTAATTTGTATAATAGTACACATAATAGTACACATACGTTTAAGTAGATATAAGATAACACATACTACATCAGATAATACTCTTTCAATGGTAGTTTTATATGTGGTGTATTACTTAAATGTTATGCATGTTATGTCGTTGTATGTATATCCTTTAACTTTATGCTCTAGATGTTATTACATTGTAGGTAGAGATGTGTATGATTTGGTAGTTATAGGAGGAGGATCTGGTGGATTAGCATGCTCTAAAGAAGGTATGGTTCCAAACAGTTCAATTAACAATTTATTACCGTTATCCCAACTGTATTACATTGTAATTGGAATTTTATTATGATCCCAAGCAAATGAGAAAACTTATTTACAGCATTTAAGTTTTTAAATTGTATGCATCATTCAAAAGAAACACACTTACACAAACCTTCAAAATTATTGGATGAAGGCATGCATATATATATATATATATACGTAAGAATTCCACTAACAATTATGCTGCCATCATTTGTGTGAATGAAATAAAACAAATTTTGATATTGAAAATGAAAAATCATGAAAATTTTATACTGTCATAAAAGATGAATATATTTGACTTGGAGAATTCTTAATTTTTTAGTCCCCTACCGACAAAGTCAAAGGGGACTTTAGGTTTGCACTCCGTCAGTCTGTCCGTCTGTCCATCTGTCCGTCCGTCTGTCCATCCGTCAGTCCGGCAAATCAGCTTTCTTCACTTTTTTCTTCGTTCTTGAAGATATTGATTTGATATTTGGTATATATATATAGTTTTATCATGACAAGTTATAGATCAAGTTCGAATATTGTTCCGGTCTGATGATTTAGTCCAGAGTTATGGACCATAACTCTGGACCATATCTAATGTTAGAGTACTATGTTAAACCATATTTCTGTACAAAGGGAGATAACTCATTTTTTAAAAGACATTCTTTGTTAAATTATTTGAAGAATTTTTTGGCAGGTTTGTTTCTTATTTAGTATAAATTATTTTTCTGAATGCTATATACAAGATATATATAAAAAAAAAATGATGAAGAGAAATCCTTTAATTAGATAATAAATCATTTTTTATTAATGTATATATTTCAATACTTTACATTGTGTAGATAAAAGTTGTTGACATTTTATAGATAAGTTACAAATCTATATTAGTTTGTGACAAATGAAAGAAAAAATATTTGGAACTATTAATTATATTTGATTATAATTTGAAAATAGATATACACTATTAATCATATCTAATGTTTTTTCGCTCATATAATCAGTTTTCCACACTTTTTAGTCATGCTTGAACATATTGACATGATATTTACTTTTTGTTTACACCATGACAAGTTATAGAACAAGTTAGCATTTTGTTCCAGTAAAATGAATTTTTACCCGGTAGGGGACTATGTATTGCCATGCAATACTCTCAGAATGCTTGTTACTCCACATTGTTGATGCACTTTGATTTTTATGTGAAATTAATTTCTAGAGACTGTTAATTGGATATACTTAAATCAGTTACAATAATTTTTTTCCTAGTTTCCAAATCTTGAATGGTAATTTTGTTGTAAAAGTCTTTTGAACAGTTAATTTGTTGGTATTTGAAAATGTTCAAACCTCTACAAATAATTGAGTTTTAATGATATACTTTATTTTTGTAGCTGCCCATTTTAACAAGAAAGTTGCAGTATTGGATTATGTAAAACCTTCTACACAAGGTAATATTGATAGAGGCTTATCTCAGAATTGTTACAATTTTCATAATTTAATCATCTGTATTAAATTGTAATGATTTTTTCTGTAGAAAGTGGACGGGTTGTTTGAAAATTTCAATATTAAGTGGAACGCATATACTTAACTATATGACCATATAATGAGATATAAACTTTCATCTCGTACTCTGAAAGCCTTGTTAGATTCTGCTAGCTATATGAGTTTCATTCAACATTCAATAAATTTTATTAAGGCTGGTAGTTCCATGGTTTGTTGGATTTTTTTTTTTTTTACATAACAGCCTGATACTTTCCATGGTACAGTTCACTGCAACAAACAAGACAAATGAAATACAAAATACACTTACAATTGTACCTCTAAATAAAGTTGTTAGTCTGTGAGTAGAGGGGAAATAATTCAAGAAAACAACAAAAATAAATGGACCATACATATACATGTATAAGTGGACCATACATATACATGTATAAGTGGACCATACATATACATGTATAAGTGGACCATACATATACATGTATAAGTGGACCATACATATACATGTATAAGTGGACCATACATATACATGTATAAGTGGACCATACATATACATGTATAAGTGGACCATACATATACATGTATAAGTGGACCATACATATACATGTATGAGTGGACCATACATATACATGTATAAGTGGACCATACATATACATGTATAAGTGGACCATACATATACATGTATAAGTAGGGAAATATTCACTGATATTGTCTAACATCTTGTTTATTTTATGTTTTATGATACTAAACATCTCACCATGTTCACTAATTTTATCATCTCTGTTTCAAGGAACAAAATGGGGTCTTGGAGGAACCTGTGTAAATGTGGGATGTATACCCAAAAAGTTGATGCACCGGGCTGCATTGTTGGGGGAATCAATCCAGGATGCCAGTGTGTTTGGATGGAATGTTCCAACAGATGTACAGCTTGACTGGTAAGTGTTAACATAGGACCATATGAATGGAGGAGTCCATTAATGAACACTATTCAAAGATAGTCTATTCAAGATGGTTGAGTGTACAAAACTATGGGTGGAATGTTCTAACGGATGTGTAACTTGATTGGTAAGTTTATACATGGGGCAACATTGAAAATCCCAGAACATTTTATCCAATATATATATTTCTTTGCACCGTGCTGAAGGTCTCACTGTGACTTTGAGATGATGAACAGCAATAAAAGCGCTGTTACTTTGTTTTTTGTGTGTTTTTTTGCTGTGCATGTACTAATTTTGCGTCACGGATGGATATCCCATATTCTTTGTTTTTCTATTGTATGTATAAAAAATATCCAAATATTCAGTTTTGCTGAGTATTTAATTTTACATGCAAGTTATATACAGTATGGATTGAATATATTACCTTCTGGTGTCATGCAAATTACTTAGTCAATATTACATAAGGGCACACAAAATAATTCTTAGCTGCTCGGGCTTGTAAGCTGCTCAGGCTTGTTTTCAAATGTTCATACACACTGTATGGAAGCGACACAGGATATTAGTACTAGCTATGCGTAAAGTGGAAGTAAAATTTTGTAATCACAGGTAAGAATTTTTGCATTTGTAATTATTGCACATGTCTAAAGATTTGTAAAATGATATGTTAGGAATTGACCTGTTTTCATAAATCATTAAGGAATGTTAGACATCAGCTTAAATTAAATCTGGAGATAAAAAACTACCATCTAGTACCTGAAAAAGAAGAACTGATTACTACATATCAAGAAAAGTAGTCGGTTCAATGCTTCTAAAATTGGATTTTTCTTCCTTTTCAATTATTATCCGCTATATAAATACACAAGACTATAATTTTCCTAAAATGTTTTAAAAGTTATGTAAATCACAATGACAAAGTTTCAATAATGTATGGCAACTTATATATTGATATGTACAGCAGCTTGCATTTTACAACCTCTCTACACTTCAGCTAATACCAATATCCCGTGTTGCTCCCATATGCTGATACAAGGTACCAAAAATTACATCAGAACATAGGATATATTTTATAAGAAATGTTGAATTCTTTGATTTTGAAAAAAAATAAAAAGGTGCATATTTGCAGATTTTGAGTTGATAAGGGAGGGCCTGACAAGCTTAATAGTTCTTTACATTGCCTAAATTTTTACTGTTTCAACAGGAATAAGATGTCTGAACTTGTACAGAATTATGTCAAGTCTTTAAATTGGGGCCACAGAGTACAGTTGAAAGACAAGTGAGTAAATTGTTTCCATCTTTTCACAACAAATACCATGGGTTCATTATTATTCATGGGTTCATACATTGACTATGTTGACTAAAACACAAATTTAAATGTTCATTGAAGTATACTTTTTCTATAAGCTTGTATGTAGACTTTTGGCAAATCCACGAAATCAAATATCCACGAAAATGTGATTTTTTCACAATCCACAAAATTTTTACCAATAAACAAAAATGAATCCACTGTAATCGAGATAAATCAATAGTTTTTTTCTCATTTTTCACTTATTGAAATCAACCAAAACTGACCCAGTGACTGCTTGATTCACATGATAATTGTTATTGCCCTTAATAGATGGTTTTGATGACCTTTTATGATATTATCTTGAAAATCTTTAAATTACTGAGATTGTTTAAGCAATTTTTTATTTCAACAGGTAGTAAATTTTTGAATAGCTTATGTATCAGACTACATGTTTGTAACTGGTAGTAGGACTATTGATTTATAGAGGGTTGGACTGTGTTTATGTCAATGGATGACTTGGCAATAAAATGATGTTCGTTTGGAACAAAGTAATTTGTATTTACACTGTCAAAAAATTTTTTTTTTCTGTCATTGTAGACTTTTATTTGCAAAATCACTACCATTGTGAGTTTTATCAAAGGTTTCTTCTTTTCCCTTTTGACCAATTTTGCTTGTATGATGCAAGAGTTATGTCTCTCTCAAGTAAATATATCTCCCTCAAGCAAAGCTCTGATTCCTTGTCCAGATTTAGCTATACTGTAGGTCCTTTTTGGTTTGATCAGCTCTAAGTTTTAGTTTTTCAAATATTTTGGCCTCGAGCATGACTTAAGAGACATTAATTGTTGATGTTATTATGGATCTTTTTTGGTTTTCTATGAAAACAAATTATATGACTTCTGTGTGCTCTGTTTCTTAATTACCTCAAAAGCAAAAGTTAAAAAATTTTGAAATCATCACAATAGATCTTTACTGGGTAACAGTACCCTATAACTAGGGGATTGATAATCCATTAGCACTTAACATCTTAATTTTGGCTGGGTTTGACAAAGTCCAAAACTGGCTTATAGTATGATGAAGTCGGCTGATGATGTCAGACTAGTGAATGGTGGGTCACTTATTTCTGCAATCAACATTACCTTCATTTTTCAACCCAGATCCCTGAAACTTCACAGAAAGTTTGCATGCACTTTGATTTTAACACCTGTTGTTATGAAATTGTTTGGGGAAATATTTTTCCACTTTCCAGACTTTGGAACTAGTCTGTTGTCAGCAAAATTTACAAAAGATGGTACATGTACCAGTTTTTAGAAGTCAAATCTTCCTACAGTATTCAACTCAGATCCCTGACACTGCACAGAATGATTGCACACATGTTAAGTTGTGTGCCTGCTATTATGGAACTGTTTGAAGATTTTTTTTTTCATATTTTCCTGAACTTGGGAACTTACTGGTTAACAAAAGAGGATACTAATTTTGTGTTTTCAACACCTTCTACAGTTTTCAACCAAGATCCTAAAAATACATTGTAGTTGTGCACCTACTAAAATTGTATGGTGATTTTTTCCCCAATTTTTCCAGACTTGGTTTTTCAGGTTTTTGGTTGGGTTCGTGTTGCTCAGTCTTTAGTTTTCCATGTTGTTTTTTGTGTACTGTTGTTTGTCTTTTGGTCGTTTTTCGTTTTTTGCCTTGGCATTGTTAGTTTATTTTTGACTTATGAGTTTGAACATCCCTTTGATATCTTTCGCCTCTCAATGGAAAATTATTTTTTAACCAAGATCCTTGTTACTTTACAGAAAGTTTGCAAACCAATTGAGGTTTTGCACCTTCCATTTTGAAGTTGTTTAAAAAAAAATCCATTTTTTCTATTTAAAGTTTCCATATATTTAAATGTTCAATATAGATGGTTTTCCATTGTTTAAAAAAAGACATTCTGCACAACCTGGCAATTCCAGTCTATGATCCATTTTTATTATCAGAAAATGTTCTGAAAAGTAAGACATACAAACTAGACAAACTACAATGAACAACACAATGCACAGATAGCCCGACTTCGTACAGACACAGAAAGTGATGGGATTAAATCAGTTTTATGTGGGCACAAACCATCACTTTACCTTTCTAGATCTTATTGCCTAAATAACACAATAAAATACCTGCACAGTGGAGCTACCAACAGGATCAACACTAATTTGAACAAGAAAAGAAAAAAGGGCTCATAATTTTAAAAGCAGGGTCAAAATGTGCTCAATTCTAAAAGAAGCTCTAAAAGATGTGTTTTTTATATATAATATTCGTACATTGTATATGTACACAGAAATTTCGTTTTAACAAAAGTAATTTTATTGCAGAAATGTAGAATACATCAATGCTTATGGAACATTATTAGATGCCAACACCATTAAATATGTAGATAGTAAAGGAAAAGAGGTAGGTATAAATTTATCTTGAATATCTTTTTAAAAGTACCTATTGTGTCTGATATGTGATAGTCACTGTTCAGTGGTTTCAAAAAAGAAAGAGCATTAAAAATCTGCACGTCGTTGAAAAACAGACAACACAATGACAAAAGGAAAAATTACAAAAAGACAAAATCTACATATATTGCCATTTAAGGAAAGTTTTCCCACTTATTTGTGTTTTTGACATACAGTATTTCTTTAAAACCATAAAAGTTGAAGAGGAACTGTAAACAACATATTAAAATGATCAACAAAAAAGATCAACATAAATAAAACTGTCCATTGATTCCTTTATATACTTTATCCATGAAATGATTTTCTGAATTATCTTGAAAAACAATAATAGAGATCTAGAGAAACTGATTCTTGCAAAAATTATCAGCAAAATAAGATCTATAAAGAAGTCAACATAGCTGAAATTGTCAAAAATCAAACTTAAAATAAGTACTGGTACTATGTGAAAGATGCCTGCCACTGTTACTAGTTATTTTATTGATACCCATTTTTACCAGGTGAGTGATTCAGGTTACTATAGTCATTATAATAATTTTTATTATTATTGTAGAGGCTGTTGACAGCAAAGAATATAGTGATAGCTTCAGGAGGAAGACCACATATTCCAGATGAGGTGAGTTATAACCAACATGACCAAGGTAGAAATAAAAAAAATGATGCCAAGTAGTTAACAAAATTTTCTTTTTAAATATAAGTTTTGACAAAAAGGAGTTTAGTCTTGTTTTTATGCGGTCGTATATTGGTATGACGTTGGCGTCGTCGTCGTCTGGCGTCGTCCGGCGTTGTCCGAAGACACATTGGTTTTCGCACTCTAACTTTAGTTTAAGTGAATGGATCTCTATGAAATTTTACCATTAGGTTCAATACCACAAAAGGAAGGTTGGGATTGATTTTGGGGGTTATGGTACCAACAGTTAAGGAATTAGGGGCCAAAAAGGGGGCAAAAATAAGCATTTTTGTAACTTCCAGACATAACTTGTGTGTTAGTGTATGGATCTCTCTGACATTGTTCCACAAGGTTCCATATCACACAGGGAATGCTGGGATTGATTTTGGGGGTAATTGCCTGAAAATATTAGGAATTAGGGGCCAAAAAAGAGGCAAAAAAACAAGCATTTTTCTAGTTTCATCACAATAACTTGTGTGTAAGTGTATGGATCTTTCTGAAATTGTACTACAAGGCTCCATATCACAAAGGGAAAGCTGGAATTGAGTTTGGGGGTAATTGCCCAAAACGTTTAGGAATAAGGGGCCAAAAAGGGGCCAAAAATAAGCATTTTTCTAGTTTCCAGACAATAACTTGTGTTCAAGTGTATGGATCTCTCTGAAATTGTACCACAAGGTTCCATATCACACAGGGAATGCTGGGATTGATTTTGGGGGTAATTGCCTCAAAATATTAGGAATTAGGGGCCAAAAAAGGGGCAAAAAACAAGCATTTTTCTAGTTTCATGATAATAACTTGTGTGTAAGTGTATGGATCTTTCTGAAATTGTACTACAAGGTTCCATATCACAAAGGGAAAGCTGGAATTGAGTTTGGGGGTAATTGCCCAAAATGTTTAGGAATAAGGGGCCAAAAAGGGGCCAAAAATAAGCATTTTTCTAGTTTCCAGACAATAACTTGTGTTCAAGTGTATGGATCTCTCTGAAATTGTACTGCAAGGTACCATACCACAAAGGGAAGGCTGGGATTGAGTTTGGGGGTGATGAATCATAAGGGGGTTCAAAAAATTTGGGGGGGGGATTTTTTTTTTTTTTTTTCCTTTTTTTCTTTTTTTCCTTTTTTTTTTCTTTTAAAATTTTTCATTTTAAGTTGGTTATTTCTCTGTTTTATATTTAAAAGCAAATAATAATGATATGGTCGGAGATACACACCAAACAGGATGTGTAAATTATTATATAATAAGTATTGTGCAATAGCAAGAAATTTTCAATTGCACAGTATTGCACAATAGCAAGAAATCTTCAATTGCACAGTATTGCGCAATAGCAAGAAATCTTCAATTGCACAGTATTGTGCAATAGCAAGAAATATCCAATAGCACAATATTGGGCAATAGCAAGAAATTGTCAATTGTACAGTATTGCGCAATTGCAAGAAATATTCAATTGCACAGTATTGTGCAAAAGAAGATACTTCGTATAAGTTGCTTATTTCTTGACCAATTTCAATGGGGTTTTATTCTTGAATTCTTGGGGTTCTTAAATATGCTGATTCTAACCGTGTATTAAGTTTTTGGATTTTGGGCCCCGTTTTTAAATTGGTCCACATTGAGGTCCAAAGGGTCCAAAATTAAACTTTGTTTGATTTCATCAAAAATTGAATTATTGGGGTTCTTTGATATGCCGAATCTAACTGTGTATTTTAATTCTTAATTTTTGGTTCCGTTTTCAAATTGGTCTACATTAAGGTCCAAAGGGTCCAAAATTAAACTTAGTTTGATTTTAACAAAAATTGAATTCTTAGGGTTCTTTGATATGCTGAATCTAAACATGTATTTAATTTTTGATTATGGGCCCATTTTTGAAGTTGGTCCAAATCGGGGTCCAAAATTAAACTTTGTTTGATTTCAACAAAAATTGAATAGATGGGGTTCTTTGATATGCTGAATCTAACCATGTATTTAGGTTTTTGATTTTTGGGCCCCATTATCAACTTTGTCCACATTGAGGTCAAAAGGGTCCAAAATTAAACTTTGTTTGATTTCATCAAAAATTGAATTCTTGGGGTTCTTTGATATGCTGAATCTAACCATGTATTTAGATTTTGGATATTGGACCATAATAGGTGAATGTCCAATTTAAAATTTTTAAGTTCTTAGACCACATTCATTCTGTCAGAAACCTATGCTGTGTCAAATATTTAATCACAATCCAAATTCAGAGCTGTATCAAGCTTGAATATTGTGTCCATACTTGCCCCAACTGTTCAGGGTTCGACCTCTGCGGTCGTATCAAGCTGCGCCCTGTGGAGCATTTTATTCTTAGTTCGATAAACAAATGTGTAAGTATTTTACGAATTGTATGTTTGCCTATCGGATCTAGAATATCTTTCATTTATGTATCCTACCGTAGTCTATAATCGGTCATAACGTTGGTTCGTTCGGATTTTGTAATTGTACTTATCATACGGGAAAACTTAGCATTGACGTCACTACGCTAATACCAGCGTATAAAATTAGTGCAGAATACATTTTTTCTACACTTCTAAATAAAATGATATTTCTAAAGATATGTTTTCATTATTATTCTTAAGTATTGTACAAAAATGCAGATTTTCTAATGGTCATTTCAAACCTGACTTCCGAATGACTGAAAACATTTCAGAACTTAAGAAAACCCCTCTTCCGTCCTCCATTGCTTTGTTTACATTCCATTTAGCGTCATCAATCTTAATGGCAGCCCAAACAGGCAAAGAAAAACTTTGGGAAACAAACGATAATCATGCCATATTTTTGTTCAGGAATATAGAGTAGGTTAATAAAAAACAATATACATATATTTTTCATAAAAAAAAAATTTGGTTCATTATAAAGAGATCGATATTCTGACCATAAGTAAATATTCATATAAAATTCCATTGATGTCAAATTTCATGGCTAATAATGAGGTTTCCGATTGAATAAACCCCCAATTTATTGCAAACTATTTCAAAGCAATATCATACAAACAAATAATATAATTGCCTTGTACTAGAAAATCACCTAATTGACAGTAGAGCAATTTGATTTTATATAAAGATTCAATGTGTCACGTGGTTTTGAAGCCATTAGAATTTGAATGTAAACAAACCGGGTCAGCTGCCCCAGTATGGAACAACATCGTACATTCAGTGACTGAGAAACAATTATGAGTAACCATGTTTGACAATACACAGTAATAAAAAAACAAAACTAAGTCTACAGAAAAATAAAATAAAAAATGGTCTTAAGTGCACGACTTACCACCATTGCGGGATAATAAATGCAATATTTCTATCATTTTAATTTTAAGTCAGTATCATTATCAAAATGAATCGACAAGACTTGCACTGAATTTCTTAACATTCTTTTCCTAAACAGTTCAAGTTTCTTGTAGGTTTTGCCTTTACTTTCACTTTCAACTTCTATTTATAGCCTCATTAAGTATTAATATAAAACTTGAATTGCCATTCTTTCTATGAAGAAAACACTTAATTTCATACATCAAAGAATGGAATTGTTTTGAGACCACATGTATGCATATGTTGCATTAAGTTAGACATGGAATTGTTTGGAGACCATATGTTGCATTAAGTTAGACATGGAATTGTTTGGAGACCATATGTTGCATTAAGTTAGACATGGAATTGTTTTGAGACCACATGTATGCATATGTTGCATTAAGTTAGACATTTGTTAAGAAGTTATTTTTTCTTATAAAAGCTTTCATCTTCATGTTGTTCAGATAATTCAGTAATTTGGACCTCTTTGCCACAACACGTCAGTGATTAACTGTATACATTTTTCTGTAGATTCCTGGAGCTTTAGAACACAGTATCACCAGTGATGATATATTTTGGTTAAACAAACCACCAGGAAAAACGTAGGTACAAGTTACTGTGCATTCATTATTATTAATGGGGTATTAATTTCTTTTTTTTTTTTATGGGTAAAGGGTTAACTATGAATTGTTGTTTTCACACTTGTATGCAGTATTCTTCAGTACAGCAAAATAAATGAATCCACAGTGTTTGTTGTTTTTTTTATATTATATATATTTGTACCATTTCATAGTGAAATTTATCATTAATTTGCTCAAGCTTATCACATTTACTATGACCATGATGACAGGGGTGGATCCAGGTTAGGGGGGGTGCAAACTTAGATATTGGCCGAGCGGAGCGAGTTGAAATTTTTTTTGAGGTAAAAGTATCGAAATATTCTTTATTAAGCTGAGGACAACCCATGCTTTGCAAAATTTAGGGGGGCGAACACACGCCACACCCCCGCCTAAATCCGCCCCTGTATGAAACTACATGGAACAATCTCAGCGTTTCTCACTGTATTGTTAAAAAAATTTAAGAAATTGAATTACAAATTATGATGATGTTCATTACTTTTAATACTTTAATCAGTTATATCTAGTATAAATTTCATTTTGCAATTGCCTTGAAATTTTCTTTTTTTATATTTTGCAGATTGGTAATTGGTGGAAGTTGTATCCTTAAATTGTAAATTGTTGATGTGTTGTGGATTTTATGACCATATAATTTACAATTTTTCTGTTTGCATAATATTTATCATAAATTGATATGTTGATAATATCTTAATGTATACATAAAATAGCTGTTGTTTGATTTCCTTACATTGGGTTGTCTTGAAAGTAAAAATATACCAAATACAATATTGGGTGAACTGCTACCCTGCCTTCTAACCAAACTATAGCATTGTTCCTTCATTTAACCAGATCATTAAACAGGAGATGGCAAGTTCATATATATGTCCTGTTGAATATGTATGTGAAATAAGAGAGCTATTGATTGTCATTGTTGGACAAATATTACTGAAAAAACATTTAGATATCTTTTATTGATTCACAAATTCTTAAGATTTTAGGTTTTTGTTTCTGAGAATGATTGGTTAACATATCTTTGAGAAAAAAACTATATTTTAATTATCTGAATATCTCTTTGAAAATTAGTACTTTTTTCTTTCAAAATTGTAAGTCTCACCTTTTGAAATACACATTGTTTTTCCTATGAATAAATAGCAGTACAGTATGTGTTATAACCTTGACATCATAATAGATATTGCTTTGGAGTGTGGGGGATTTCTGACAGGAATGGGCTTTGATACAACTGTAATGGTCAGATCTATATGTCTACGACATTTTGACCAGGTATGTTTTTTTAGTAAATTTTTTAGTGTTATTATTAAGCACCTGTTGTTAGACAATTTAAATTAAAAATTTTTATCATATCTTCTGAAACCACAAGACTAATTTGAACCAAATTTAGCAGGAATATTATAAAGAAGGTCTTTATAAAGGTTTCTTATTTTGTTTCAATCAGATGGCAATATGGCTAATCAAGGCAATCTTTGATTCATATAACCTTTTTTTTTTTTGGAATATTCTACTCTGAAACTAAAAGGAAAAAATTGTTCAAACATAAAAGGGATTGATGATTGGAAGATTCTCTCCAAAAGTTTTATTCAATGAAGATTGGCAGCAATAGGCAGTAGAGGTGGCACAAAGTCCCCTTGGAAACCCTATGGAAAAATCCCATTTCACTTTCTCTGAAACAACTTCACTAATTTTAACAAAGCATAGAAGGTCATTTATGAAATTTTACATTTGATTTCAATTGGATTTAAAGCATTGCCACCTAAGGTACTTTTAGATTCTGATTGTATAATTTTCTTCATCTCCTTTCAAGCTACAGAGTCAATTGTTTTGAAACTTTAACATGTATAAGGGATTGATGAAAACAAAACAATCCAAAGCTTAATTTGTCAGAAATATTCTTTTTTTTTAATATTTCAAAATCATAAAGGAGCATAAGTCATTTCCCCAGTACAACATTTTCTCATTACCCTGTTTATTGAAACTGCCATGTTGTATCGCATTTCTCGCAAATTTGTATATCTGATTACCAAAATGTATCGCCAACATAATGTCCTCTTTCACATGTTACATCTGCCTCATATTTCTTACCAGGAACCTCAATTGAAAACTGTTAAAATATACATTTGAAATTTTTCCTTTTATTATAGCAAATGGCAAAGCTTATAGCAGACTATATGGAAAATCATGGAACAAAATTTCTGAAAAAGTGTTGTCCACAAAAAATAGAAAAATTAAGTGATGGTAGATTAGAAGTATTTTACACAGATAAAAAAGGAAACACATGTTCTGATATATACGACACAGTATTAATGGCTGTAGGTATGTATAAGTGATATATATGACACAGTATTAATGGCTGTAGGTATGTATAGTTGATATATATGACACAGTATTAATGGCTGTAGGTATGTATAGGTGATATATATATGACACAGTATTAATGGCTGTAGGTATGTATAAGTGATATATATGACAGAGTATTAATGGCTGTAGGTATGTATAGATGATATATATGACACAGTTTTAATGGCTGTAGGTATGTATAAGAGATATATATGACACAGTATTAATGGCTGTAGGTATGTATAAGTGATATATATGACACAGTATTAATGGCTGTAGGTATGTATAAGTGATATATATGACACAGTATTAATGGCTGTAGGTATGTATAGGTGATATATATGACACAGTATTAATGGCTGTAGGTATGTATAGCTGATATATATGACACAGTATTAATGGCTGTAGGTATGTATAGGTGATATATATGACACAGTATTAATGGCTGTAGGTATGTATAGGTGATATATATGACACAGTATTAATGGCTGTCGGTATGTATAGGTGATATATATGACACAGTATTAATGGCTGTCGGTATGTATAAGTGATCTATATATGACACAGTATTAATGGCTGTCAGTATGTATAAGTGATCTATATATGACACAGTATTAATGGCTGTCGGTATGTATAGGTGATATATATGACACAGTATTAATGGCTGTCGGTATGTATAGGTGATATATATGACACAGTATTAATGGCTGTCGGTATGTATAGGTGATATATATGACACAGTATTGATGGCTGTCAGTATGTATATTTGATATATATGACACAGTATTAATGGCTGTCGGTATGTATAGGTGATATGTATGACACAGTATTAATGGCTGTCGGTATGTATAGGTGATATATATGACACAGTATGAATGGCTGTAGGTATGTATAAGTGATATATATGACACAGTATGAATGGCTGTAGGTATGTATAAGTGATATATATGAGACAGTATGAATGGTTGTAGGTATGTATAGGTGATATATATGAGACAGTATTAATGGCTGTAGGTATGTATAGGTGATATATATATGACACAGTATTAATGGCTGTAGGTATGTATAAGTGATATATATGACAGAGTATTAATGGCTGTAGGTATGTATAGATGATATATATGACACAGTTTTAATGGCTGTAGGTATGTATAAGTGATATATATGACACAGTATTAATGGCTGTAGGTATGTATAAGTGATATATATGACACAGTATTAATGGCTGTAGGTATGTATAAGTGATATATATGACACAGTATTAATGGCTGTAGGTATGTATAGGTGATATATATGACACAGTATTAATGTGTAGGTATGTATTAATGGCTGTAGGTATGTATAAGTGATATATATGACACAGTATTAATGGTTGTAGGTATGTATAGGTGATATATATGACACAGTATTAATGGCTGTAGGTATGTATAAGTGATATATATGACACAGTATTAATGGCTGTCGGTATGTATAAGTGATATATATGACACAGTATTAATGGCTGTCGGTATGTATAAGTGATATATATGACACAGTATTAATGGCTGTAGGTATGTATAAGTGATATATATGACACAGTATTAATGGCTGTAGGTATGTATAAGTGATATATATGACACAGTATTAATGGCTGTAGGTATGTATAAGTGATATATATGACACAGTATTAATGGCTGTAGGTATGAATAAGTGATATATATGACACAGTATTAATGGCTGTAGGTATGTATAAGTGATATATACGACACAGTATTAATGGCTGTAGGTATGTATAGGTGATATATACGACACAGTATTAATGGCTGTAGGTATGTATAGGTGATATGTATGACACAGTATTAATGGCTGTAGGTTTGTACAAGTGATATATATGACACAGTATTAATGGCTGTAGGTATGTATAGGTGATATATATGACACAGTATTAATGGCTGTAGGTATGTATAGGTGATATGTATGACACAGTATTAATGGCTGTAGGTATGTATAAGTGATATATATGACACGGTATTAATGGCTGTAGGTATGTATAGGTGATATATATGACACAGTATTAATGGCTGTAGGTATGTATAAGTGAAAAAAAAGTACCTGTTTTGTGTGAAACATTGTTTTTTTTACAAAATGTTGGACTTGTTGAACATTCTATTTCAGTGGGAAATTTGAATAAAAAATTTGAACAAAGCATAAAGCTGTGCATCGTTTATTTTCTACCATTAAACCCAGCTATATTATTTTTATACTAATATGTATTTTATTGCCAAGTTTTGAGTTATTACTCTTACAATGTTCACAATTCATCAAAACTTCAAAAACTGCTTATATATACAGATAATTGTAAACCAAAAATTTAATACACTAAATTCTGAATTTTCTGTGTACATTTATTTTTTATTGTAATTGTTGAATGCTCCATACAATAATGCTATCAAAATTTAAAATGAGAGTTTATATTTTTTCAAAACCTTTCCCATTGCAATTTTTGCATTAATAAAAGCATCCCACAACTGTCTGAATAGATAAACAATGGATTCTTTAAATATATAACCCCTTTTGTCTAATTTGAGGTTAAATGGCACTTAAAACACATGCAAATAGCAAATTTTTAAATGTTCTTATACCCTACATGTTCTTTTACTCACATATATTAACAATGGAATGTTGCAGTCACTCAGAGAGTTATATTAAAAAGTCAAGTAATTTTTTTAGAATAGATTCAGTTAGACCAATGGTCTTCAGTGTTACAGATAATTTAAAAACAGTAGAGGGCTGTTTTGACCAGTAATGGCGTAATATTTTCCAGTTTATTTGAAAAAAAAGTCTTAGATTATTGAAATCATCAACAAACTCAGAAAAAAAAGACAATGTAAAATCTTGACTTTGAATCAGCAAGCAATATTGCAGATAAACATAAGAAATGACAGAAGAGAAGATAACTTAAATGAGTAGCATCATAAAAAGAAAATCATCTAGAGTGGACTTCTGTTCATCAAAAGCTGATATATGTGACATAGTTCCTACAATAATTTGTTTTATTAATCTACAATGGTGTTTTTTTTATTGTAGGCAGAAAACCAGAAACCTTAGGAATAAATTTAGAATCTGTTGGTGTTGTAACAGATCCAGACACCAATAAAATAGTAGGAAACCATGACAATGACCATGAAAGAAGTTCTGTGCCAAATATTTATGCAATAGGAGATGTCTTACATGTAAGTTTAAGGATTCACATTGGCAAACAGCATAATATTTCATTGATAGTGGAAAATGATTTAAAAAAACTTGTAAAAAATATTAAGCAATTTTATGTAAGATATCTTTATAGAATTGATACACTTATATATCAATTTTCAGTACAAGCAAACAATTATTTTTTACTCGGATAAAATTTAATGAAGAGAGATCAGATATAGGATATATGTTCAGACAACTACACAACAACAGAAGAAAAGAAAATATGTTATGCCAGACTCAGTTTTATGGTTAAATGTAGCATTGTGTGTTTCTAATATTTAAAGGCGACAAAAACCAAAGGTGTGATAGGGATTGTACAACAGTGAGTGTAATTTTCATGAAAGACTGTTAATTTACTGTATACATTTAATTTTTCATGCTGGGGTTATTTCCCTTATTTTGAATCTTGTAAAATGCACAAACATATCCCCTGCTCAATTAGTAGAAATCAACACAGTATTAATGTGAAAGTCAAAATAATCTTTTAATGCACTAATTTAACACCTATGTGAAAAGTTTAGGCATTGAAAACATTACTGTAAAAATAGCCAGATTCTACTACTTCATCCAAAAAATTTCAAAACATAAGGATTTCCAAATATTTAAATCATTCGAAAATTTAAAAGAAAAGTAACATATTCCACATGGTACAGCGGTAAAAAAAATTCCTTTTAATTTTCAAATGTTATGAATTTAAAAGCTCAATTCCTTTTCATCTTCGTCAATTTGTGTTCCTTTGTTGTGATGCCATGAGACATTCACAGTACCTCTTTTACAACAGCTACAAAGTTTACTATCAGCAGAGAAACTTGATTTAGTTTCAGAATTTCAATCAATAATTTTGTCAGAACAGCTGATTTTGGAAAATTATTAATTAGCATAGATTTGAGTTCAGGTCAATGTGTGTTCTCAGCTGGATAACACAACATACAAATCAAATATTTAATTATTTTGTATATTACAGAAAAGTATAACAATTTGTTTATGAAGTAAAATGACATAATATTTAAGTTTGAAATATTTGATAGTAAACATACATTTGCAGGACAGACCAGAATTGACACCAGTGGCCATAAAAGCTGGAAGATTGTTGGCTGAGAGGCTGTTTGGTGGATCCAAAGTGAAAATGGATTATGATAAAGTATGTTACTTTTGTTGCCTGCAAATAAGAAAAGATAAATTGTAATCACTGTAACAATTATTGTTGAAAGTCAGCAAGCCTAGTTACCCCCATTAGATAAAAGTTTCATATTTATCAAAATAAGGGCTAAATTAAACCAAATTTTAATTTGTGAAATTCTACATTTGGAAATTGCTTAAAGAATTGATAGATAACTATGACTCTTTAAACATGGCCAACTTTTATACTTGTAATAGCAAATATATATTTCACTTTACCTATATGAACCACATTTTGAATGAAAGATTTTAAGTCTAAACTATTTTATTAGCAAGCATCTGTCATATTTATATGCTACCATATTGGAACCTTCTTTTACTTATGACCTTGTGGGGAAATACATTTCAAATTTCTTATTGGTAGATAATTGGTCACATTAAAAAAAATTGCAAAAATTTCTGAATTAACAGTAAAAATAAGAACAGTTTTTATACCCCCGGTACAAAGGAGGCATATAATGGTTGTTCCTCAGTCTATGTCTGCATTTAGGTAATGGATTGCATCATGACTTACCTTTATTAAATATGCCACATCATTTCCTTTGATATTATATTAACAGAAGTAATCAGTGCACAGTAGCTCACAGTATATCTTGTTTGAACTATTGGTTTAGTTTGTAATTCAAAAAATAAAATTCAATTAGAATTGCATGCTTACATATTAAAAACGAAATTAGTGTTAACAAAAAGGTACATTTTTAGATTCCTACCACTGTGTTCACACCATTAGAATATGGTGTTGTTGGTTTATCTGAAGATGAAGCTATACAGAAGTTTGATGAAGATAGTATTGAGGTAATTCAGGAATAAAAATATTTTTGGCAAAAGTGAAATTTATGTTTTGTTCCTCTTTAATGCTCTCAAAAATATTTTATAAAATTACTGAGAATCAGAAATATTTGACTCAATTCTACCTTGTAAATATTTCAGAGAATTCAATTGGTCGTGTGACAGCATGGCTGACCATATATATTAAAACGCAGCTTTTACAAGAGTTATTGTTCTTGAAATGCCTTCATATAAGCAATATTCCAGTGTCAAATTAAAAGCTTATTCAGGACAAGCTAGATTTTTAACATGCTAGTTCACAAAAGGAAAAGTGGGCAGGAAAACGGGTAACCCTACCCAGACACATTATTCCTGACGAATGGTCTTTGCTCTTACTCCTAAATGCCACATGCTAGCAGCAAATACCATTTTTCAAGTCTTTGGTTTGACTCTGCCACTGTTCGAATTGACAACCTCCTGCACTTGAGGAATGCACACTACCACAACTTGAAATAAGATAGCATCCTTTTAAAGGTTAAAGTTCGTAATAGATCATATGGTTTGTTGAAAGTATCAGATAGTCAGAAGGATATAATTATTACACAGCCAATCAGATATCTGATGTGATATATACATGGTCAGTAAATTTTAAATGGGGACTCCAGCTACACTTTAATAAACACAATAGAGAGATTATGGTAGAAAGGAAAACAAATTTAATTGTAAATGTTGATGTGTTGATGCATTAACAGATGTTGAGCACATAGTATAAGCAATCCTTCCACCATATTCAGGACAATAATATCTTGTGGGATATACATAAAAAAGGATTACCAATCCATATGACACATTATTCCAAAAGCAAAATTACAGTCAAACCTGCCTTTACCGTCACCTCGTTTCAGCAGTCACCTGCCTCTAATGGTCACTTTCAGGCCCTCCAAAAGTTTTCTCTATATGATTTAACTCATTTCAGCGATCACCTGTCTAACGCAGTCAGCGGTAACCTAATTTTTGCACAAAACTTTAACAACAGTCATTAAAATGATTTTCGTGTTTTTTAACAACCAAAATATAATCATGACAAAAAATATATGTGTTCAGTATTGAGGTAAAAATGAGATTCGGAACCCGTTTGAAACTGAGATCACCCATTAGGGAATGAATTTGTGAATTTATCGTGTTCCACTCCTTTTATGTTCTTTTGAAAACCGTATCATCCCCTAATTTCTCCACAAATATTAACTACCAGTATTTTGAATGTTTTCTTTAAATTTAGGGTGCTGGGATCCGCCAATTTTTTATTTGTCTGCTCGCATGAATGATAACTCTACTGCTTGAAAACACTAAACAATTTTCCCCGATACTGGCCATGCGCGATGTCAGAATCAGATTTTTTTTTCAGAACCTCATTTAAAAGGTCACCTCTCTTGGGCGGTCACTTTTGATACTTCCCATGCGTGACTGCTTAATACAGGTTTGACTGTATATTGTTGTGGGTATGTTAATCTTTGATCTAATCTTACATAAACGCATAAACAAAGTTAAAAAATTACAAAAATAAATCATTGCGAAGTCATCTAGAAAGAGTTTAACACCTAAAAACAGTATCTGTGAAAAAGTTTGGTTTACAGTAACTGATTTATGGCTGTAGATAGAAACAGCATAAGTGCACATTTTGCAAACTAACAAATATCTTCAAATTTTCAATACAGTTCTTTTGATTCTAGGTTTATCATGCATTTTACAAACCACTTGAGTTTGCTCCAGTAGGGAGAGATGTGTCACAGTGTTATATAAAGGTATGTTGTATAATTAATGAATTAGCTGTGGATTTTAAACCTTTGCTATTCAAGCTAATGCAATACAAATGAACAATTAAGTTGATTACAAAATATACTTGTGTATACATATTTATGTGAATCTAATGTTGTTTTCTTTATTTATGAAGAAGTTTCCTATAGATATTATGTATATCATTATATTGTAAAATTAATAAAATATCAGTCACCAATTATAAAGTTTTATTAGCCATAATACCATGTTTCCATTTTAGGTAATATGTATGAGAGATGGAGGAAAAGTTTTAGGTATACATTTTCTGGGACCTAATGCTGGAGAAGTTATACAAGGTTTTGCTGCAGCAGTAAGGCAAGTAAAATATTATAGAAATACTCATTTATACTAAAAGTCTATATAAATGTCTTAGTAACATTAGAATTAATTTTAAAAAGTATCTGTTTGGCTCATTTTAGATAATAATTATAAGGTGCAGAGTATTTTCATTTTGAATACCATAATAAGATATGTGCTGATCTCCAAGTCAGGGGTCAAAAGCAAGCTTCCTGAAATGTGCCAGAAGGTCTGACTAGTCTAGCAATTAGTTGTTGGGTAGACAAATATATGCAACTCACCGGTCAAAAATGTCTGTAAGCATGAAGTGTGGTTCCATATTTTGCAGCCAAAATCCTATTTAAACATATTAGATACAGTTTTTTTCATTCCCATTATGGAAAAACAAAATATGTTTAAACTTTACAAGTTTTCTTTCCAATAATAAGGACAACAGGAAATCTCATTTCTTTTAGTTTTTTTGGAGAGAAAAAATTTGCAATAAAATTGATAAGTATTGGAACTTAAAATCATGCTGCAACTTTGTAAGATGACTATAATCTCTTAAAATACTTGTAAAATCAGACTTTGTTTTCAGGTGTGGAATTTCTTGGCACGACTTGTCCAGAACTGTAGCAATTCATCCAACTAGTGCTGAGGAAGTGGTTAAAATGACTATTAATAAAAGGTCAGGCCTTGACCCTACTGTTACGGGATGCTGAGGTTAAAGTTCACTCCTTTTACTATTTACTATCCTCTGATAACGTGAGAATCTCCTAAGTATTGCGAAAAATATTTTGTAAGTATTTTTGTATGAATTATGAATTTTTTTTATATATGTGCATGAACAAGAATTAAAAAGGGATATTTTATGAATTTGAATTAGAGTATGAAAGTGATGATGTATGTAATGTAATATTAATAAGACAGAGTAATTACCTTAGTTCTATGTAAGTTGCTTCATAGCCTGTGATAAGTTCAGAGGAGGCAATTGACCTTTACTTGCCATCTGCTATTTTTTTTTTTTATTATTAAGATTTTATTTCAACCATTAAAGATAGCACAATCTGATTAAAACCAGATTTTTCATTTTCTTTTTTTTTTTGCATGTGTAAGATCTGAAAACAACCAATATTTGAGCAAAAGCAATCATGTAACTTAAAAGAAAACTGGTGCTAAAATTTGTGTCTACTACTCCTTTTATATTTTGTTGTGTGTGTTCTCTTTTACACTGAACATTTGAGTCACATATATATACCGCATCTGGGACATTGGAAGACCGTTTCTTTTATTTATAGTGCTACGGTATTTGCTTGCAAAAAGTCTAATTGCCCTCAACCTTTAAAATCCCATGTAATTTTATAACAAATAGTACAAACTCCTTTCTTTCCAATTTTGTGTTCTGAAGAATTATGACTTTATATTTGATGAGGGTCTTTAGGGGGCCTTTATTTATGTATTCTTATTTTTCCCCATTTTTCTCTATTTTGAGCACCTCATTATTATCTATTCTTTATTTTGTTGCTGCAATTTTCTTTTATGAAATTGATGTCTTTGTTTTTCATTTCTGTTATGACTTTTGAAAACTTAAAAGTTATACATGTTTAGAGTTAAATTTGTGAGTATGTAGTAGAGGAGAAGTGACTTTTGAATAATTAAAAAAAAACAAATAAAATGTTCATTGTACATTAACATTAGTTAAAACATTTTCTTACTGAGAGAGAAAAGTAGAGTTTTGTGTGTTTTTTTCTTATATATAATTGAGAACATATGCATGCATGTCTGTTTGTGTGATAAAAAGTCAAAAACTGATCTTTTGTATTAAAATACTACTTTTCTTTCACTGATTCTAAAGAGCAGGATTCTTGTATTGCAATTTTGTATTTGTAAATATTTTGTATACCTTGTTTACTCTTTGTTATCAGAGGATGTGTATTAGGAGTGTATTTTTATTATTATATGTTTATCCTGCATGACAACTTTACCTTAAGGTGCTGCCATAGCAACAGGTATAGTTTGATGAAAGGATAATTCAAATTCAGCCAATCAAAATGTATATTTTAATTCATTACTAAATTCCTTTATTCTACATACTGTGGATTCATTTATTTTGTAGATTGAGGTCAACTTGCATTTTCGTCGATATTTGATTTCATGGCTTAACCAAAGTCTGCATACAAGCCTATAGACAATTTGTAATTCTTTGAAAAGTTAAATTCGTGGTTCACCTTTATCAATAAAATGTACGAAAAAATTGGGTGTCCCAAGAATAATGATAAATCCAGAGTATGGAATTTTCCAAAAGTTGCAATTTTTTGAATTCAATGAACAAATGATGGATATAAAAAGGTTCACTGTTGATTATTGGAAAAATGTCCTAAACAACTGATATTTATAACCCAATGTATCATTTTGCTATATTTAGGTTGTAATCATCTGTAATTGTCAGGTGTATGACCATTCTCATTTTACTGTCTCTAAACCCGATATTATGACATTTGACTGCATATAGTTATGTTACATTGTATTATAAATGTTTTGTAATTTAATCATGAGCAAATTTGAACATTGTTTGATACTTATTTAAGCATGACAAAATTGAGTTCTATTCAGGATTGTTATTGTTAAGTTGTGACTTTTTTTTCTTTCTCAGTGAAAAGACACTACATTTAAATATGATATTTTGTTTATTCATGTTTTAATATTTAATTTTATGTCTACTGCTGAATTAAATATATATATATATTTGCAAGTTTGAGATTAAATTTGTTACATTTTGTTAGCATTTAGATTATCTCATGCAAAGATTCTGGCTAAGAGATAAGAGCTTAAATATCTTGTGGTTTAAATATCGTTCCTGTTAGAATTTGGCTGGATGTATTTGTCAATTTATACCTATCCTTTCTTAAGACAATAATTAAATAAACATGATATAAATGCTTTTAAATTAAGCCCTCTGGTCTCAAAAACAATTATCTTTGTTGTTTAATTTATCCTGCTTGTTTAATATATTGCTTCTGTTATATCAATGTATTAAGGATTTTCTATTGTTTTTTTTTCAAATATAGAAGTAAATTTATACAATTACAAATATTTCTAATAAGAATTGTATGGAAAGTAAATTTGAAATACTTATAATTTTTTCAGAATATGTATTGTTTTTATGAAAGTTTTTTCAGTGCAAATGAAATATTTTTGTTTATGACTGATTATTATTGTCAGTGTCTGTTGTACATCTTTTTATACCTCTTATCTTTTCTTGAGATGATATATACTATTAAAAAGACTCTCTGTTTATTTAGTTTTATTAAAAGGTACATTTGTAGTTTCTGCCTTTATTGCCATCTAGTGACCACACATTGAGTGGCATAATACATTCTTGTACTGGCTTCTGTTCTTGGCCAATCTGTGGTTTGCGTCATAAGTTAACTAGGATATCAGTTTTATTCTTGCTTACCGATTAATTGCCTTGATCATTGTTTATCTGGAAATCGTGATGAGCAAGTTTATTTTTTCAGTGCTATTTCATCCAAATTTATTGTGATTGAAATTTTTTTATTATTTAAATGGATTGAATTATAAACACAGTAGTCCTCCAAATGACCGACTTACATCTTCGTGAAATAAATTCCAATGGTTTACCATTAATTAAATACAAAATACTGGTCACCAGAGACATGTATAGTATATATATATCTGTGGTAAGTGTGTAAATCTTTAACAAGGTATTTTATTATGTAATTATGTGAACCACTTGTTACTTTTAGAGGCAAGTGGGAATAAAGTTTTGTCCCTTGCAAGGAGGGACATGATAATGGTCTCTGTTTGTCCCTCCTTCCATCCATCCATTCGTCAATTCGTCTATCTTTTTTTTTAAAACATGTCAATACCTCTAGGCCATTTGACATACAGCTTTGATACTTGATAGGCTTATTTGTCTTCATATTCTCTTGGCCATACAGCTTTGATACTTGATAGGATTATTATACCCCAAACAACAAAGTTGTGTAGGGTATAATGTTTTTGTACTGTCTGTCCTTCAGTCCTCTGTTAGTCCCTCAGTCAGTGTTATCACAACTCCTCTGAAACCATATAACAGATTTTCATTAAACTTTGTAGATAATAAGGACATACTATTTAGATGTGCATATCTATACAACATTATGATTCAATTTTTTTTTTTCTCGGAGTAATGCCCCTTTCAACTTAGAATTTTGGCCTCAATATACTACTGCAACAGTTTGTCATCGCAACTCCTCTGAAACAACACAACAGAATTCATGAAACTTTGTAGATAATAGGGACATACTATGTAGATGTGCATATTGACAGGAGTTTATAATTTGATATTTTTTTAGGAGTTATGCAAGGGGGGGCCATAATGATAAACCCCATTGAACTTAGAATTTTGGCCTAAATATACTACTGCAACAGTTTGTCATCGCAACTCCTCTGAAACCACACAACCGAATTTCATAAAACTTTGTAGTTAATGAGGACATAAAATGTAGATGTGCATATTGACAAGAAATTTTTAAAAGTTGACTTTTGTAGGAGTTATGAGTCTTTGAACTTAGAAATCTGGTGAGATTTTGTTTGCCCAGTGGGGATTTTGGGTAAATGAGCGTGCTCACAAAGGATCTTTATTTGCCTTCATATTCTCTTGGCCATGCTCTGTCTTCAATTTGATTTGAACTTTATGATTAAACTGTGCCAGTTGTTTTCTTAAAAATACTTTTCAAGTATCAGATATATGAGTTTATATGTATCAACATATATGTCAGCGGTCAGTATATTTGCAGGTCATCTATTTTTTACCACTCATTAGCTTGAAAAAATAAAAAGATATATAAATTTTATAGAAAAAAAAGAAAGACTCATAAGTTCATCAGCAGTGTAAACCAAAAGAAAAGATATACAATTTATGACACACATTCTAAAAGAAATTAAACATGCAAAGATGCTGCAAAAAATTGCATTCCTTTAAAATGTCTTCCCATTCACAATCCAGATGAACCCAAAATGGTTAATTTCAACATTTGACAGGTATATTCGTTTGAAGTTTATAGATAAGTTTTATTCACCCCTGCAACATATGCCTCTAGGAACATAGTCTTTCTGTCTGAACCAAACATGTTATCATGTTTATCTATTATATAGTCATTTTTATAAATTTACTGTTTGCAAAAGTATGAATTATTCTAAATACTAAGGACTTTCTTATCCCAGACATATAACCTTAGCCGTGTTTGGCACAACTTTTTGGAACTTTTGGTCCTCAGTGCTCTTCAACTTTGTACTTATTTTGGCTTTCGAACTTTTTTGATCTGAGCGTCACTGGTTAGTCGTGTGTGGACGAAACGCATGTCTTGCATATTAAATTTTAAACCTGGTACCTTTTGTTAGCTATTATTCGTATGTTTCTCAGTCCTATATGTTCTCCCATTTATTTGTATTGTAGTCCTGTCATGTAATGTTGTCATTTTAATGTTATGTTTAACATTGCCATAAAAGCGGGAGGTTTGGCTAGCCACAAAACCAGGTTCAACCCACCATTTTTTTCTTAAAATGTCCTGTACCAAGTTAGGAAAATGGCCATTGTTGTATTAAAGTTCGTTTCTGTGTGTGTTGCATTTTAATGTTGTGTTTCTGTTGTGTCGTAGTTCTCCTCTTATATTTGATGTGTTTCCCTCAGTTTTTAGTTTGTAACCCGGATTTGTTTTTTTCTCAATCGATTTATGAATTTCGAACAGCGGTATACTACTGTTGCCTTTATTTAAAAATCATTACTCAACAGACTGTTCCAAAAAGCTTTTATACATGGTAGAATTTATTTGTTAATATACTCTCATATAACCACATACTATACCGTGAGTCATTTAAATTTCTGCATTTTTGGAAGAGTTCCAGGACTTGTAACATTTTTTGCCATATGACCTTTAAGCCAAAGGAAGAACCTGTCTACCTGCTTTTTTCGCCTTGTAGAAATAATGAATATTTGACATCGAGTCAGAAGGAATATTTTTACAATGATTGTGTTTGCAATTCCTAGATAGAGGCAAATGTAAAGCAAATCTTAAAAACAATAATTATTTTGTTCATTTGTAAATATATTTACAAGAGAGATTGGTAATTTTTAAAGTTGAAAACCTAAATTTAGAGTGAATCAAATAGCAAATACATATGCAGTTGAAATATTTTTGAGAAAGATTACTAATAAAAATGGAAACAATGGCGATCACATCCCTCAGAGCAATCAAGCTCTTTGATTTTGCACTTTGGTTGAAACCTGAAGGTTTATTTAACAATTTTAAGATAAATGGGTTTGCGGTTTAAATAAGGGATATTATCTAATGCATGGTGTTGACTGGCAGGCTGAATTACAGAACTTTCTAAGTTCCAGTATAACACTTATGCAATGTGTTGATTAAATGATTGATTGTTGGTTGCTTAACGTCCAGTGGCAAATGTTTTATGCATGTTCAGGACGATGTTGACTATACGTTCTACTACTACTATGGGGATGTTTTACAACCTTGACCCCACGAGGGCCTTACACTGTAGGTATGCACATTTTGTCTGTCATTAATAAAAGATTATTGCTTATTTATATCCTCCCAACAAAAATATACTGATTTTTTCACTAATGAGAGTTCAGTAATGTATAAATACTTTACTTGCTGTCAATAGTCGAATATACATTGATATACCGTGGTAAACAGTACCATCTTGACACACTTAACGTTGATTATGCACATCTCATCTGACTTTAAATTGTATTCGAACATGCGAGTACTGAACCTGAAAATTCCTCATTGTTAAATCTAAAACATTGTGGTTAATTTAATGGTTTTTACACTAAAATAAGATTAAAAAACTAATTAGATATTTCTTGCCATTTATTAAAATTTAACCATATATTGTTGCCATCAATTAAAATTTAACCATGTATTGTTGATATTTATCAAAATTTTACCATATATTGTTGTCATCAATTAAAATTCAACCATATATATTTGCCATTAATCAAGATTGTGTGCAAGTCAAACTTAGCTGAACTACGTTTTACATAAACGAACTATTGAAAAAAAAGAGTTATCATTAAAGGTGTTTATGTCTGTAGTAATATAAATACATCATTATTAGATATATTGAGGTTTACACTTTAAATGCTGCTCCACACAGTCGATGTTAAATTGCTATACTGTCTTTTAATGATCTGCAGTATATGTTATCCCAATTACATGATTCTAAAAAACTTTATAAAAAAGTGAAAGAAATACAATGCAGTTTGTGTTCTTATGTTGTGCTGTCACACCACCGTTACAGGTTAAAGGAGACAGTGAGCGCTCACAAATTTCTTAACGAACCTGTCCAAAGTCAAGAGCCTGTAATTCGGTGGTTGCTGGTTACCGTATTTGTTTTTCGTTTATTGTTTTAACATTAACCTATCCGGTGATTTTTCGTTTGAGGCGTTTCACATTTTGTCATGCCAGTTACTTTTATAGGTACGGTATTGGGTTTCCTCATTATTGAAGGCCTACAGTGACCTATAGTTGCTTACATCCTCGTCCTTTGGTCTCTGGATGATAGTTATACGCAACCATACCACATCTCCTTTTTGATAGTTGTATTATAAGATTGCAGTCGAATAAATGAATAAATCATGATAAAAGATATAAAGCTGGTTGATATATTTGTTTGTTAAAGTCCCAAAAAAATTGAAAGATTTGGCATTTGGTTATTTCTTCATTATTTAAAAAAACAAATGGAAAAAAATGATACATCCACAGACTTTCTATTTTGTTCCAGAGATCTGAAACTATGATTGTATAAAATATTATATGTTTCTGATGGTTCCTATCAAATAATGCATTGATTATCTGATTACTCTTTAAACCTATTAAAAACAATCAGAGACATAAATACATATCTCTTTAACAATAGATATAATCATCAGTCAAATGATTCATACTGAGATATTTTTACAAAATATGTTGACTGCTGTAATTCTTTTTATGTCTTAGTCCATGAATGCAATAGAGATTTGACCTACAGACCTGTAATTTCTTTACATGTTCATCATACATAAAATCCTTACAGTAGGTCTACAATAGAATTACTGATTTAATATGTAATGTGTTTGTTATACTTATCTGATCACGGATTTACTATTAAAATCCTTGATCTTATCATTATTTTTTAACAAGGTCACAAGCGATATAAATGCAGTTTCAAATTACTGACGTCTTCTTTAAATGATTGAAATGCTTCAATTACTTAAAGGGGTTATACATGTTCACTTTACTTTGGTGAAAACATGTTAATCACGAGTTGAAATAGTTTTCGTGGAATTTGCTAATAATAAAAGGAAATAAAAATATTTTGTGATAAAAACTTTCTTCTTCCTGTTAAACAAAGGTTTATCTGTTGATGAGGATTTTCAAAAAATACGTCCTTGGTTCAAGAAATGTACTCTAGTAGTAGATGCCAGTACTTGTGGAGACTGAAATATTAAACATGCTCAGATGAAAGTGTTTTTTTACTCTAGTGAAGGTAATGTACGAAATATAAATGTTCAGTTACATATCAAAAGTCAATGAATACGCCGCTTATCTTTACTCACGTTAGATTAAAGTAGATCCACAATGTCGTACGAAAAATTGAACTAAAAGGCACAAAAATAATAAATACAATGTTACTTTGTATAGAACCACACTGATTCAAACAACAAATACACTGGAAAAGATGTTTCACTTTCTGATCGACAACATATTTGTTGAGTATTGGGGGTTGGTATTTCAACAGATAGTGTGTGTTCCAATGTCTACTTATTGTGCGCCACTCCTGGTCGACTTGTTTTTATACTCCTATGAAACAGAATAACCACAGAACCTTCTTAAAGACAAAACGAAAAAGAAACTTAATAGGTTCTTTAATTTCACTTTTATACATATTGATGATGTCTTGTCACTCAATAACATATATTTGAATGAGTGCTTGCATCTTATATATCCAAGTGAACTTGTGATAAAGGATACTACCGAAAACTAAAAGATCTGCTTCTAACTTTGATATTTTCATCGACACAGATAGACGACTTCAAACTATAATCTATGACAACTGTGATGATTTCAACTTTCCAATTGTCAACTTCCTATTTATCGGCCATAATATACACTCTGCCCATCGTATGTCGTTCACATATCTCAATTAATACGCCACACCAGTGAATGTTCATATACGGACTTCATTAACATGATTGTGCTCTTTACACAAAAGCTGCTCTAGCAAAGTTAAGAAGAGGTCGACACTAAATAAGTTTAATGACCACCTTCACGAATTGATTGAGCGAATCGATTTTTCTGTGCATCAATGGTAACGTGGTCTTAGATCTTTAGATACCAAAATAGTCGTCTGATCAGTAATTTAACCGATGGTGTTCTATTGCCGATTGAGACATTTTAACTGAGTGTTGATTCGCATTGCGGGTGATGCACCCTGTCTCGCTTTTTTTGGAGTTCACGCGATCTCCTCAGTTTTTGTTTTCACCTGGATTTGAACCTTGATGTATTTATGAGAATTGAATATCGTTAAACTACTGTTGCTCGAAATTACCACATAAATACAAACCCATTGATACCAAATGTGTCGACAGAGTTAACATCTTATGTTGTGCACGAATTACTCGTTATTTGATACCAACGTGTTATCCAGAGGCAGAGTAAACATTTTATCTAGTAAATTTATGCACTAAGTACGACATTAGTTATCTTGTTAATGCATATGAATCATCCTTTTTGGAAAAATAAATTTTGATCTTTTGTTAAACTTCTTTACACGTATTGTTTTCAAGCTATATAACATATACGATCTACTTAAAAATATTAGCATTCTTTTATCATTAAAATATCATTACTATTTTATGGAAGTTATGTTAGTCAAGTTTACATCTGGTGCAGTTAAATTGGTACCGTTTAATGTGATTACTACTACTGGGTCGATTGTTTGTCCCCAAGGGTTATCACAAGCCAAAAACTAGTACTTTGGTATTGGCATGATCATACGGATATTATTTTATTCAAATTTGCTGTTGTAAAACTTTGGAAATCTTTGGAAATTAAGGAATTGGTCTCCCTTATGCAAGGTCATGAGTCATTCCTGGTTTGGCAATACTTTTGGTCCTTTTACATTATATCATAACTTCAACACTTCTTTTAAAATATTTATATATACATATATACATATATACGTGTGTAATAAATGTCACTGAAAGGACAATAATTGTCGAGATTCGAATCTGGTGTAGTAAAATTGGTTGCATTTAATTTTATGAACAGTAAACGAGTGAATTGAAGAAACAAATTGAATGCAAATATATATGTTCTTAATCTGTATTTTACTTTCGTAAGACCAAGTTGATGTTTATGAGTTTTTTAGTACAAGTGTACACCGTCAAAATGTTTAATGTCAACTGAATGAACTTTACAACAATCGATTAATATCTGTTCCTAGAAATGCAGGTTAGAATTTGAATCTAAAAGGGAATATATAACTTTAGAAAACCTTTTGCAATTGGGCGAGTTTATCTTTTCAAATTCCCTATATATACCATTTATAATTCCTGTAATATTTACAACAAAAAAGGCTGTAGAAATAGTAAATAGAATGTTGATCTTCTGAACGGAAATCGTCATTTGTACAAGATTTGCCTTAGAAAAGGACTGTATATTTTTAATAATTCTTAGAAATATTTTTCTGTAGCGACTCATTTAGAAATGTAAATTATATCTTGATTGCAATATAAACTTTTTATACGTGTTTTTATCTCTCTTTATATCTTGCAATGTAGCTGATAAAGCGCAAGTCCTGTTTTGTACTGCTGTCTTGTAATTTAGATTAAAGCTTCAGTAGTTTACGGATGTTCAAATCTCGAAAATCGATTTTAAAGAGACAATCCAAGGTAAAAACATAAAATGAGGGAATCACATGAACTTCAAAAGGAACGAGAACAGGTGCGTCGACATGCAGGTAAGCGTCTCCTGCTATACATGCATCATCCGAGGAGAAACTCATTACCGAGACAAATAAACCGTATGATTTTACACTTTATTGTTGTTTCGTCTAATTAATATACAAATGTTCAGTTGCTATTAGGTACACGATTCTGTCAACAGTAGTTTACTTATTTTTCGATATTGTAAATAGCATCAGCAAAATAATATTTTTGAGGAATAATTTTGATTTCAACATAGAAGAAAAAAGATGTGATCACATTGCCTACCCGATCAATTTAACATGTTTCTGTGGCCGTTAGATAACAGTTGCTACAAAATTAATTTCCTTTCTTTGTTGGAATAGTCAAGTAAATCTTGTTTTTTTTTTCTTATGTTGTCAGTCAGTCAAGTTCGTTTAGTAGTTCTATGTTCACTATTTGTATTTTTAAGCGGACGGTTTATATTAAAAGAGGAGTCGATTCGTTTGTCATTTTGTCCTTCTTTTGCATCCGCTACCGCTCCTGAACCGTTCAAAAGAATGTTTTGATACTTTCACAGAATCGTCCTAACACTACGTACTTTTACACCTTCAATTCTTTCTTTTCATTCGTTTTCCATTTCTTCATTCAAATAATTTTTATGGTTCACTTTGGAATTAGTTGGAATTTTCATATATGTACACTGCAGTACAAACTTGTATCCATGTTTCCTAATCCCCTATTCAGAACTCAGAAAAAAAAAGATGAGAGATATAAAAGGGAAATTCAAAAGTCAAGTTGAATAAAATCTGACATGGAAAAAAAGAATAAACGACGAAAAAACAAACCAGTCCACAATGCACTCTTTGATGTCTCAATGAGGAAAAGAGGACGGGAGTGTTGTTACGACAGTTGGAACATTCTCGTGATTATCTGTGACACAGATATTGCATAATGGTCAACCCACTTGTGAGAATTTTTAACATATAATGCCATTGTGCACCTCTCTTTGATTTCTTATTCGAATTACTACTCTCCTAAGCTTTCTTGGTTTGTCATTTGTTTTAATAGATTTTTTTTAATTTTTCATCTTTTGTTTTAGTCTGATCATACTACTTGAACTTATAGTACTTTGAACTTCAGCATCTACATTTGTACTTGTTTTTCCAACATTTCATAATTCCTTTCCATGAGTAAGTAATATATGCAAGGCGAGTTAGAACACTTACTTAAGGTAATGAAAACTTCTTTTCTTATTTTCCTTTTACTGTTGGTTAAAGTCTGACTGGATGTATACCTTTTCTTTGTGTTAATCTTACCGTTTTTAGTCTGGTATTTAACTGGTCTCATTAAAGGTTCAAGTTCTTAGTGCATTACATTTGTACAGCTTTCCCATGTATGAAATGAATATTGTGTAAACATTTTTTTTTTTTGTATTGGATTTTGGTTTAGATTTATGTTTGATTTTGATGAAATAAACAATTTATCAACTAATCTTATTTTTGGTACATTGTATATAAGTGTAGATTTCCGAAAATCTAAATGATCCACATTTGATATGAAGAAGTTATTATTTAGTTCTCTATGTAAGAGTGAGCAAACTTGTAGATTGCAATTCAGTTTACATTCTTTATTAAACGCTTCAGCGTTTATTAAAGAACAGCTAACCTTTTAACAACACTTTTTTCAGACAGGCACCTTTAATAGGTGATATGATTTTTAAGAGTTTAAAAAGTAGATCGTTAATTTACAAGTGAAAAGAATGGAAGAAGACAGAGCAGACAGTTAACTAGACTTTAAAATTATATTTTGTGAAATTATTTAAATGTAAAAGGTTTTAAGACTGTCACGTATTTATTTATTTATTTATTTATTTAATGAGCTTTCTTTAATAACTTCCTTATTATCCGATTACCTTTTAACCTTATATACATTCACTACATTTAAAATACAGTTCGAATAAATTCAATCTTACAGTAATGAGTGTATTGATTATGCGAACTCGATTAAATATTTGATCCCTTTATCCAATCGTCATTGGAGACGAAGACGGATAAGTAGTGTGGTTCAGGAGCCTCAGTAGTATATCCGTTTATTTTTGTATCGTCTTTTCCCTTGATTAACTATATAATAAACAAACAACAAGTAAATCTATTGTGCTAAGCCCACGTGTTGATACATGTAAATCACTTGAGAAACAGATGTGTCATTGTCGACAATCATGGCGTATTTTTCTCCGTCCGGATATTGTGTAATATTAATTTTCCCATTTGGTAAGTTAAAAGTTTAAAAGAAGTGTATTGATAAAAAAAATGTCATTGATTTGAAAGTGTCAGACTTAAGTGTTTGAGTTGTCTCACTTTTATTTTCTGTTATGTCAATGCCGTATGTACTCAAAAATAAATATATATACAAATATAGATAGATGCGAACAAAAGAATCTCGATTTAAGAACTATATGAATGGATGTCAAATTATTACTTTGATATCTCATGAATGTATAATTTCTATTAAAATGATACCTAATTAGTATGTGAGAATGCGATCCTTTTCCTATTCACAAAATTCACTCTATTCAAAGTACATTGAAAGTAAAACCAACGGTATTCAATATTGTTTATGAAGTTTGAGTTACGTTTTATGAAAAGGTTGTCACTGATTTGAATTTCAAATACTATTTTTTTCAGTTGAAAGATAAACTGGTATTATATCTATTTTGATGAGAGGTTTATTAATCAACAATCAGGCATCGATGAAACTATAAAATACCTACCAAGATATCATTTAAGTTTGATGAGGGAGGAAGTTAACTCGTTAGGTTTTCGTTGAACATCAAATGAAAATATTAGTTTTATCCCTCACTCAGATATGGATTATATTTTATTTGGTTCATGTTACAAAACCTTCAGTTATATTAAACAGACTTACAAATACAACGAAAACAGGTGTTATCGATTCACAAAATAGTTCAAAACCAGTGTTTTATAACCTTGACCGATGGCTTGCTAACCAAGTATCAAAAGGAAAGACTGTGCAAAGTATTACGATTATACCAGTTCTTGCTATTATTGCTTTTGTATGGATTATTTGCCTGCGCGTTTGCAAGTGGATGAGAGAAGACTCTAAATTCCATGAAAGAGGATGTAGTTATGACGTCACATCTTATGTTATTGTGACGCAGGAAGATCAAGATTTTAACGATTTGGATATATCGACCTCGCATCTGGTGTATGATACTGTTACTTCGAAGAAAGGGTTGCAAAATCGAATCGATCATAAAATGTACGATACGGTGACCTCGTATGCTTCGTTATTGAAATACAACACAGCTATGAATGCGCGAAGGAGTCCGACACCAGAAGTTCTAAAACCGGAGGTAACAAAAGGAACTGTTCAGAAAAAGGGCCGATTTTATATTGCACCAGTAATTGATAATTATGTACGCTTGAAAAATAGTTTGAACTCAAAAAAGTTGAAACACTCTCTGAAACAACCTAGTTTACAAATGAGGAATATTTCAGATTTAAGTTCATCAATGTCTTATGAAAACAGACAAATGAAACGTTCCCCACGACGTTCAGTGTCGGACAGTCGATTGTTTTCAACAGGTTCAGGAATTGATAGAACGAACAGACGAAATGTTTCAATTCAAGTGAAAAAAGGTGTCAGTAAATTGACATTCGAATCAGTTATTTTACGGGAAGATTATTCAACCAATAAACCTACAGAATGTTCAACTGTAAACCCAAACGTGGGAGACGTATACATACTTAATGATATTAAGGATTTAAATGAAATTTGTGACTGCCCAACCGCGATGAATAATAATAAGTTTCATACAACCGCTATGATACATGCGAATTGTTTATCTAACGAAGAAGAAATAAATCAAAATAGCAACATATCTGTGACAGAAGCACATAAAACATTAAAATCTCTTGGAAAGAAGAAAGAGAATAATAATGCAATATCACTCTTGGCGCTTTCCACAGACCTTGATAAATATAATGAAAACATTCCATCAAAAAATGGACGACAGTGCAAAACATGTAAAGAAAATACAGCAAATCCGAATGCTTGCAGTATTAACGTTAATAATAACCACCGAAACGAACAAATATATACCTCAAATTCAGAATTGTCTTCCGGATGTAAAACCACTGTCACAAAAATTCGTGACCATGAACATGTTGAGTGCCAATCATGTACAACGAACGATAAAAAGAATTCATATCGGATTTGTGAAAATTGTACTCCTACGTCTTCCAAATCTCTAGCAAAGGAACATTGTTATACAGGATCTAACATGCCTGATCAGTTTGATGGTTTACAACAGCAACCGTGTTCGTCAGGAAAAGTATTAAAAGAAGATTTTAGACGCAATGACGAATTTATTATGCAGAAACAAACCTCAGCTCCAAAAAATAACCATATTTGTGATGAATGCTCACAGCATAAGAATTACACACTTTCATCGACATTCCAAAATAATTCATGTCCATGCAATTAAATATTTTAAAGATTTTGAGATATTCATTTGCATATTTATTTTTTCATAAGTGACAACTAATTCTGTTCATCTTTCTAAAGGCGAAATAAGTGTTGGCCTATTGTTTTTTTTTCAAAATTACAATACATTTTTCTTTTATTGACCTTTTTTCTATCGTTTAACAAGCATGACCAGTTAGGTCAAACTTTGATTGAGTTCTTATTTGTGTAATTTCCAGTTGCTTAAATTGTATGCTGATCTGGACAAGAACATTAATTTTAAATCCAACCAACTTGATAGATTCTGAAGAGTATGAGGATGCTGCTACATATGATAAGTTCACTACTTCTTGATACGAAGTTTGTTTGCTTAACGTCCCAAATGAAAAATATATAATGCCTGTTCAGGACGAATTCAAATTAAACAATACTTTTATAAGTAGTTTCTTTAAAGTATGTGCAATTTGATGATGGTTAGCAAATTTACCGTTTCCCAGGGTCTTAGTGGGTAGTTGTTCAGAAAACACAACACTCTTAGCATCTGTTTCAATAACATCCTTTCGACCAGACAAAAACTTAATCTTACCGAAAAGCTCATCTAAACTTTCATTCAAAATGTTATTGTCTAGTACGATAGCAACTGTGTTGCAAGGAAAAGCTAAATATAAAAATCCACAAAAAATTCAAGACCCACCAAAAACAAATACTGACACACAACTACGTTACACACATATGCATATGTTAAATATGAGGCAGATTATCAGATGGATATTCAAAGTTATGATTCGAAGATAAAGACAACGTCAAGACCAATTTAAAAAAAACGCGAAAAAAAAACGACAAACACGAACACACTGCCCAGAAACCTGAACATTGAACACTTATTTACTAAATACAAGGTGAATTCATGTGGTCTGGAAACGTATGAAGTACATGTTCTACTAGTGGCACCCATCGTGTTGCTTCCTGCAAGTAAAAATTAGATGATATCACAATTGAGAATTGAGAACAAGTGCATGATAATGTGGTTATAAATTGAAAATATCTGTGGTCATCAGTGACAGAGGTATTCCCAAAACGGTCATGAAGGCGTCCATAAAAATAATCGAACATATTTTTTGAACTTTTCCACTACGATCAATTCGTTAAATAGCTTGTTAGTCCTCTATCAATGAAATTATGACAGGAAACGCGAGATATATACTCCATATGTAGGAGCTGCTGAAATGATACAATAGGGAAGCTCGCAACACTTCTTAAACCACAGACAACATTGAGAGATAAAGCGTGGCAATGCGAACTTGTTTATCTCTTAATTTGTGTGAAAATCTTTTCTTAAATCAGAGTAGACTTTTTATCCTTAATATGAACTTTGGATTACGACTTACCAAAAAAATATATGTAATTGCGACGAAAGTCATAGATAGAAGTCAAGAACAGTTATATAATTTGTTGTGGCAAGCAATCGTTGTTATATCTATTATTTATTTATTTTCTACTTCTTACATTGATTTGATCAAATCTTAATGATCAAATAGACGACTTCAATTTCCTTAATGTGAAGTTTTAACTATGTATAGCAACATATGAATAGAACTTAATTTCATATTGGGTATACATCTCCTAGTTAATGAAATATTCCAGAGCCAGTGTTTTCTATGTAGATTTTTGTTTTGCAAAGGGTTGCTTGTAACGAGAGAGAAAAAAAACTTAACCAGTAGTTCGTTATGGTAAAAATTGAAATCAACTCGTCGAAAGTTTTACCTGTACCATCATTAAGTCTTGGTCAAACGTCATAGATGACCACGAATATGATTAATTCGTTTTAATCATAATACAAGTCTTTTCCTATTCTGTTATTGGTATTTAACGACTTGTCGTCGATTTTGAACATCACTTTAAGTTTTAGATACAGCACAAAGGTAACAAAAAACTGACCGGTAACAACCGTTGCCGTATAGTTTTTTTCTGCACGAGTAGTCAGGTCAAGTCCGAGGCGAAAGCCGAGGACCTTGACCTGACTACAAGTGCAGAAAACTATACGGCTGGTTGTTACCATCCCGTTTATTTTGTTACTTTTGTTTTGTATATGACTTGTACGACGTTTTTAATTAGAAAGAAGTACAAATTTAAGACGATTACATAATTAAATGATTGAACACAAATAAAAAATATGCAGACGGGTTTATGTACCACGATGTTTGGAGATATTTAGTCTTTAATAAAATAGGGATTTTGCGTTAACACTAGCGCTTCTCAATTCTATCAGCTGTGTGCGAGTAAAATTATTGCTTATTCCTTATATACATATCAGTGAAGTAGGAGTAAATTGAAAAGTTGAGAAAAAGGGGCGACTTCTTAAAGTGACAAGCAAAAAAAAACCTTTAATCTATATTTTCTATCATAATAGTCTAATAGTTTAGAAATAAGGTACTGTCCTCTTTCGTAGCCACTTTATATTTTAAAAACAAAATAAATTGCCAAAAGTGGAAGAGAGGGGGGCTTATAGTTTTGCCCCTCACCTTTGTGTGTAATGCGGGTATAGTCCCCTTTCCCGGTTCCTATGCCCCTCGACACCAGGAAAAAAGCATAAATACGTACCCCCACCCCTGGGAAAAAAACAACAAAAATAAAACAAAAATAAAATAAACAACAAAAATATGAATAACAGATTGAAGACATTTGAAAAAATTAACGACGTATGCAAATGAAATAAGAAAGAGTAATCAGACAAACGTAAATACAGCATGTATTGTATAAAATCAATAAAATAAAGAACAAAAAATAGAAATATAAAAAAGCTGTTTCTCTTTTTTTATGAGGGAATAACATGTAATGACAAATAATTGATTTTGTTTCCGTTTAAAATTTTTGATCCACTTTTTTTTTTGCAGGTTTTTTTTTTTTCTTTCTTTTTGCTCATTACAGTAATGTGATATCGAGTAGACCCACGTATTGATCACGTGACAAATTTTTTTTTTTCATTTTCCATCCCTATATCCAAAATGGTGGTAGTTTATTGACGTTGAGACTGACTTTGTGCTATCACAATACGATGTAAGCAAATTCCTTGAACATGAAAAAAAGAGGGGAAATCCTCCGTACAGTTAGATTTAGACGATTTAAAGATTTCAGCTAAACTGCTAAGCAAACCCACGAGAGGTTTGTACATAGAAATATTTTATGGTTGCAGTTACTCTTGCAGTCAGTAACTTCGTAGACACTTTATTTAATTTCACCATAGTATGCTTTTTTATAAATATAATTTTTATGAACACTTTTCATATAAATTATACTTATAAATCAAGGTAATTAGGTCACAATGTGTACCATAAAGTACCTATGAACTCACTGAATGCACGAGTGACTCTATTCATAAAAAGTGTCCGTGTATCGTCATAAAATGTGTCCGTGTAACATTCGTTATTGTACTGTTTTTCTATAGCTATGCCGGGGGCAAAGTCGTACGACAAGACGATGGGTGATAAGTTGAATTGGATCTAACAATAGCATTCCCATTAACTACAAATAAAGGCAACGTTTCATATGGATTGTTAAATTATTAAAAACCAAAGACATGTATTTTTTGTCATTGCAGTAGCACTGATAATTGAAATAATGAAGCCGAGAAACTTTTTCTTCTTCACGTATTACATTGCAATATTTAGATAGCATTCTTATATTTCAGTTCAGATGTGTGCATTGATTTGTCTGTTGTTTATCAGGCGGCATGTTTTTGTGTTAAATTGCTTGCTAGTTTTTGTCTCATCTTGTTTATATCGGTCAGTTAGTGCTCTGTTTTTTTACATTTTTGTTTCCAATGTAATTTTGTTAGTCTGAGGCTGCCTTTAGGGAACGACCATTTAACTCCAAATGGGGTTATGGTTTTCTCCTAAAAAACTATTCTGATCCCCAATTTGATGAAGAAAAAAAATATTGTGGTCAAGCAGATGACAAAAAAAAATATTCTGAATCCAGATTTTCAGATAACCCTGGCCGTGTTAGGCGCAACTTTTTGGAAGTTTTGGTCCTCGGTGCTCTTCAGCTTTGTTCTTGTTTCGGCTTTCAAACTTTTTTCATCTGAGCGTCACTGGTTAGTCTTGTGGGGACGAGACGCACGTCTGGCGTGTTAAATTCTAAACCTAGTACCTTTTGTTAGCTATTATTCGTGTGTTTCTTTGTCCTATATGTTCTCCCATTTATTTGTATTGTAGTCATGCCATGTAATGTTGTCATTTTAATGTTATATTTAACATTGCCATAAAAGCGGGAGGTTTGGCATGCCACAAAACCAGGTTCAACCCACCATTTTTTTCTTAAAATGTCCTGTACCAAGTCAGGAAAATGGCCATTATTATATTATAGTTCGTTTCTGTGTGTGTTACATTTTAATGTTGTGTTTTTGTTGTGTCGTTGTTCTCCTCTTATATTTGATGCGTTTCCCTCAGTTTTAGTTTGTAACCCGGATTTGGTTTTATCTCAATCGATTTATGAGTTTCGAACAGCGGTATACTACTGTTGCCTTTACTTTTCCCCATACCATATTGTTAAATTTTAATTAATTTAAACTTTCTTTCTAGCGATAATCTGACGATTTCAAATACTTACTTGCCTTTCACAAAGACTTCATGAAACCTATTAAGTTAAGAGTGTTATTTCTATGTTGTTGTTTTGTTGTTTTTTTTTTTTTTTTTTCCTTCATTAGTTGTAGATTTAAATTGTGGTCAACCAACAGCTGTGGTAACCTTAGCTAGGTTCCTGTGTTATGAAGCACATTTGACCGTCCTTTCCAAATCATGTAACTTTTATTTCCGTGTTCAATTGTTAGTGGTCGTCCTGTTGGCATATGTACATTTGTAGCTGAACTGTGTAGGTTTTTTATCATGAGTTTTATCTTAAAGACAGGTAAAGGAATGACTTTGTGTGCATGTTAAAAGCGGATTTGTGAAGCATGTGTTGTTCGTTGTACGTCATTTTTTTTTAAATCTCACCTATCTGAAGTGTGTGTTATATAATGATGTGGGGAGTTCATATG